GGCGTGTGGACTTGGTCAAACTAAACTAAAAAATATTCCGGTCAATTTTGCAAATTTCCGGTCAAATTTCGTTTTGGTCGGAAGTTTTTCCGGACAAATTTTAAAATTATTTCAGGCTCTGAATATTTACTCAAAATGTTGTGTAAATGATATATTTACCGAGTATTTTGTGTTAACACAATAATTTGAGTTAAAAATTTACTCCTATTTTTGTGTTAAATTTACATATAAATTGAGTTGAAAGGAAGATTTTACGCAAAATCTTGTGTAAATTTACCCATCATTTTTTACAGTGCAGGTTCTATTTTATACATTAAATTTCTTTCAAGCTTCCGGATATTTCCTGTAGAGTGTGAAAATGATTCTGTATTTCCTAAGACAGAAAATAATTCTGTATATGGGGCGGATTTTGATTAGAAGGAGTAATTTTTGGGTCTGGGAGGGTTTAACATAACATACTATTTCTAGTTATATATGTGATTCAATCTAAGTTATATATAGTGTTCACTGGGCTTTCTTTTTATATATGTTTAGCATGTAATAGATTTTTCATATTTGTAAATATTTTAACGGCCCCTTGAAAACGAGTTTAAACTGAAGGGCTACCGTTTTTAAATAAGATGAATAATAATAATAATAATAATAATGGGTTATTGACCGAGCGTGAGGTTTGTACTTTATTATATGGCTGAACTGAGTCTGTGAGCATATGCTTTTCGCGCGAATTAAATCGGCTATCGTCAGTTTCACTGGGTAACAATTAATATGCGGTAGGCATGCATGCTCCTTCAAAAACAATTTGGTTGTTTGAAATTTTTATCTGTAAATTTTAATGACACACAATTGGAAAATTAAAAAGCAAACATTTTTTCTGTTTCCAAAGCAAAAATTTCCCGCCAGATAAACGACATCCGGGACACCGGGCAAGATACGTGAAATACGGACCACGGTCCGGATATGGCTTTTTACGGACCGCTTGTCAACCAATCAGAATAGAGAATTTTGAAAAGCCGTGTAGTAATAGCCGTTAAAGGAAAACTTTACCATGATGTGAACATCTACATTTGTACGTTCATTTATACAGCACTAGACGTCGAGTTAATCTGCATGTACTATGGTAATACCCGAATACTATTAAAGAAGACGCTACCTTTGTTCGTAATGGTTACATTGTTAACAAGATGTCCATAGTATGGAAAAATAAATGATGTCTTCAACAACTATAATAATTTACAAGAGAAATGAAAATATAGTTTTACGATTTCTGCCATCCAACAACTTATTATTCTTAGTACGGTAGATTAAAGTCCAAAATATTATTTACAGTCTAAAACAAACAATTAACAAACAAAATTCTTGATCATTAATTTGTATATATTGTCCACAGAGGGCCACAGGATTTTCAGTTTATTGCTGTCATGTGTTTTTACCCTCTTTAAATAAAGTTGTTCATTCAATCATTCAATTGTGAATGACAAAAAGAAAACATGCATGGTCACATAAATAAGGACAACTAGTCGATCTAACAAGGTGTTAAAAAATCAGCAATTTAATGAAAATGGAAAATTCAGTGACATTCAGACCCGAAATAAGAGATGTGTCCCATTACGAGACATCTCTTAACTTTGGTCTGAATGTCGCATCTTGTAAGTGACATTCTCGTGGCTTATTATTGGCCGAGCTAAATTTGAAGTCCAAGTCAACTGACATTGTTTTTGTGTAATACTAAAAACAGACAGATGGCATCCTCGCAACACTGATCTGTTTTAGCAAAGTTTTAAAGTTGAACAAGCTAAACGTAATTGGGAAAACAGCCTATGACGCCTAATTTTTTACTGTAGCTAATATACATGTACCCTGTCCATTCAGCACACATTTATTTTTATGGCGGCATATAGAATGGCGGGCTCCAAAACTTATTCTAGAAGGAGGTTATACAAAGAGGGAATTACGGTATGCACAACGATCAACTTACATCAGAGAATATTATGTTCTTTGAAAGTTCCCTATGAAATTTAGGTTTTTTACTACCATGAGTACCATCATCCAGATTAAACCACCACTGCCTTCCATGACTGTAGTACTGTGATCTGTAATACTTGTGATGATCCTACGCAAAAACAACAATACCATTATAAAGAAGTCGCTATAGTAAACACTACTAATCTCAGTGGTGTAGTGGAGGGGGTGGGGGCTCAGGGGGCTCAGCCCCCCTTGTTAATCCCCCCTATAATTTTTGCATAATCTTAAAAGAGAATATTCTTTAGAATTGCATCCACAAAAAGTAGTACAGAAACCTTGAATTGTTGATTCCCCTTATTACGTTTTCGTGGCGCTTTGCATTATGGTTATAGTGGTATCACTGATAAAGATAGCGGCCTCGAATGAAAATATTTAATGTTTTCGCGAATATTTTGCTGTTGGCTATCGCGCACCTGACCCTAGCTTTTTTAAAAGTTCTTGCACGGGTCAGGACAAAAAATAAGCCATCTTGAATATCAGTGATACCACTATAACCACAATGAAAAGCGCTACGAAAACGTAATAAGGGGAATCTAGTATTACATACCCTTTTGAGACGCTCAGAATGTTTTATATTACTAACGGCAATTGTTTTGAATAAGCGTAATTTTGAATGTTTGTCCCACAATTATTAGAAAAACCCCCAACAAAATTTAGAATTTACAAAATATCATATTGTAAACACCCCCCAGTTCAGGACACTTTTGGAGAACACGGAAACGCCTTTTTGGTCGGGCAAAACAAGCTCACCCTCCCCCCCAGCCGTAATACCGCAGTTTCACCCCTGTTGGAGAGCCCCCCTTGTTAACATTCCAGGACTACACCGCTGGACTAATCTCAAAATTAGGACTGGATAATGCACCCTTTTGAATTCAGGGAATTAATTTTGAAGGAGAGATTTCTAAATCTGTCACATCCCTTACAATACGAATCACATCGTTACGTGTCTAAATCAGTTATAGTATCAAGAAAATATCTTCTTCTAAAATATTGCTTCCCACACCTCTTCAAATGAGTTTTTAGATGGTTTTAAACACGAGATGAGACTTGAGGCGACCATATTGCTGTGACCTCATTAATTATTCACTGGCAAATTTCAGAAGGAAGAGAGGCCACTTGTATAACCAATTTCTCTTGGGGAAATATTTCTTTATTCCGGGCAGTCACCAGAAACTTTAAGAACCTCTTCTAATATGTCAGCAACACCACAGTAAATTTGTGGTCGTCACATCAATATGGCCGCCTGGCTTCATTTACAGTATGGATATCAGATATCCATGCAGTCCATTGAAATGAATATAACTGGAATGCTACCTTCAGATTACCTGCCTATCTATTTCTTGAAGCCAAATCTGACACCCAGACACGCGTGTTTATATCACGATTGACTGATTGAGCATCTTAACATGCGTGAGAAGACTAGGACTGGTCTTCAAGTTTGGCTTCAAATCTCGGGTGAGAGGTAGCGTTCCAGTTATATTCATTTCACTGATCATATCAACATATGCAAAGTTGCACAATCACCGAGTGGGACGATATCGTATATTGGTCATTCTGATTGCCATTTGTACGGGACCTGGAGTCCTAGTTAACACACAACTTTCATCCTCACATATCAACACATATGCAAAGCTGGACAATGACGCAGAAAACGAATCAGAGTGGATATCGATATCGTATATTGGTCACTCTGGTTGCCATTTGTACGGAACCTGGCTAAGAAAATGTCTCAATAAATACGCCTCAATCCCAACTAAACCTGATTGATTACCTCCAGGCAAGGACAATTCAGAGCGACATGAATGTAGTTTACAGACAATTTTGGAATAACACTCCAGGGCTTTTGGCGGCAGCCAGAGCGACGTGTGGCACATGGTTTATCATCAGTTACTTTCTTTAAAATAAATATAGCGTAAATCCGTGTTGCATTTTTCACTTTAACCAATGACGAATCGTAAAGATAAACTACTGTGATTAAGTGATTCAAAACTATTTTACTCCTTCCTAAACCGCTTTCACCCAAACCTGCATGGTTGTAGTGTTGTTTTAGTATGGTGTTTTCAATTTAGTTTTAGTTCAGTTTTAGTTTAATGCAGTAATTTATGTTTAGTTTTAGTTTAGTTCTAGTTTGAAAAATTAATTTCTTTTCAGTTTTAGTTTAGTTCTAGTTGAAACAGAAATTTTATTTTAGTTTTAGTTTAGTTCGAGTTCGAAACAGGAATTTCATTTTAGTTCTGGTTTAGTCCTAGCTAAGCAAACATTTAGTTTTAGTTTTCAGTGCTTCAAATATGTACGAAACTGTTTGTGTAAAGGCCACTACTAGGCCAGGAAAGACCAAATATCATATATTCAAAATCAGCAATTGTTTATTTCGAATTCAAAGTTGCTTTATTTACCTGTTCAAGTGACTGAAGTCAATAATGCACTGGCAGCCTGGCAGGACTATACAAACTAAGACAACTTTATTTATAAATAACCCAATGTAAACCAGGGTCGAGGTTTCGAAAAATTGTTTCAGTTTTCCAGGAACAGCTAGGAAGTATAAAATCATCGGCGGAAGGCGGAATCGAAAGTTTACGATCAGTTCACGATGTGTACCAAGTCCCCTCGAAGGCCAAATTTTATATGGATATGTGAGTGTTTCCTAGGGTGTTTCAAACCGACAGATATGATAATTGATTACACTTACGTACATAACAGGTGTGGATATCAGTACAGGATGGGTAGGAAACATTCACATATAATCCTACTACTACTACTACTACTACAGATACTAATTAAATTCTGTCGTTTAGTTTTAGTTGTTGCATGATGGTAATTTTGCTTTTAGTTCAAGTAGTTCTAGTACTTGCTGCTGATTTTGCTTTAGTTGTAGCATAGTTCTAGTTTTTATCTCTTAAATCGCTTTAGTTCTGGTTTAGTTTTAGTATTTATCTTAATTTATTTAGTTCTAGTTTTAGCTGACTAAATTACTTTGGCACGACTAAAATAAGGTTTTAGTTTTAGATGACTAAAACAACACTACCATATCTATGAACACTACATGGTTGTTTATGAGAGTTGGGATATATAATATTTTATTTTGGATGTCTTATAATAATCACTTTTTATTTTAGATGTCTCATAATTTGAGTTTCTGCTTGTTTTTTTTTCAGGTAGTAATATACACTGGAAAAAAATTTGAAAATCCATAGAAGGTCATAGAATGGAAATTGTATATGGACCTTTATTGGAGAATGGATTTTGGTAATCCATGGTATATAATAAAATTAATAGAATTAATAGAATGGATTTTGGTAATCCATGGTATATTTCCATAGTATGGATATAGTATGGAAATAGGATGGATATACTATGCATTTAGTGGTGCAATTGCAAATTTCGTAGTATGGATTTCACTTTTTTTTCCAGTGATAACCACTCAGCACAGCATTTTCACATTGGTACTACCCACACTGGTACAGACAGTTTTAGTATATACTGTCATAATCATCTCTTTTCAAAAAGAACTTCAACTAATGCTGCCATGAGCCCTGTACTACATTTTAAGTTTCAGCATGGCTAAAGTAAATCAAGTTAAAAAATGGGCAAAAAGGAAAACTAAAGACAACAATTGTAATATTATCAAAAATTGGAAAATCGCCTACTATTGGAAACGGGCCGATTTTTGCCTTAATTATCGGTAGACAATCGGTAGAATTATCTATATTTCCGATTGTCTAAAACCGATTGTTGATAAAATACGCACTTTAAAAATTATATACATTGCACGTTGATATACACGTCTAAAGTTCATCAATGATCGCGGGCGTGGCTCACCAACGAAGTTTCGGTGGGTGGTCATCCCCACTGATCTCAAAAATATGGCGGACTGTCATGAATAGCGGACACTGATTGGTCAAATGTAAAGTTTGCATTATAACGATGTATTTTGAAGCTGATCGTTGTGTATATTTTAAATGAAAAAGACAGCATATAATTTCAGTGTTTCTTTATTGATTAACGTTTTTTTATTACATTAAAAAAGAAAGCAAAGTTGTTTGAATGCGAGAATTTGAAATAATTTTATTTCAAACTAAAAGTTTTTCGATAAAGCCTTTAAAGGCAGTTTCGATAGTTTTATAAAGAACATTTTAAAACGTCCTGCGAAGCGTTTGAGGTTGAATGTTGCCTTAAGGAAATTGAAACTTATATTACGTATAATAACATACTTAACATATATATGGTTGGGGAATTGAACATTTTGTAATTAAAAGTGATATTTTTAGGGGACATTTCATTTGTAAAAATATTCTTAACAAAATTATCGTGTTACCATGAAAACTACTTTAAATACTTCATGTTCGGAAAATACAATGGTTTTGTCAGCAAGGAGAGGAGTTTCTGCATGCATGTATTTTCTAGTATATATTCAATCTGCATGATTTTTGATCTAGTCTCATTCAAATTATCTCCATTTTTACTTACTTCAACATAACTGGTTGACTGATATGCTGCAGTTGGAGTTGTTCCTTTACTTGTAGTTTTTCGTTCAGTTGTTGGAGTGGAAGGCTTCTTTGATGTTACAGGAGTTAGTGTAGTCGGAACGTTTGCAGTAGCAAATGATGTGGTCTTCGACATAGGGATGACTGCCTTACTGGGCTTTACTGAACTTGATCTGGGTGTAGTGGATGACGCAAATTGTTTCAGAAATGATGATGAGATTCTTGGTGTGAAAGTCCCAGGTGTTGGGGGGATAGCTGAATTAGGGGAGGGGCTAACCATAGAAATATTGGGTTGAACTGTGCCTGCATCCCGCCGTACAATGTCATGATTTTCAAAAAAATATTTCTTAGAATTATCCTCAAAATCTTCAACAAGTTCAGATATTTCTAATAAATAAATAAAACCAACCAGCTTCAGAAAGTTATGACATGTTCATTTTGTATAACTCATTAAGCTGCAGAGCTTCCCCATTGACGAGTAAAATCGTCTAGCGTTCGACAAGTAAAAAAAACAAGTAGGGCTCATTGGGCACAGGGGGTCCAACTAAGAGCTGTGTTATGAATATGAATAAAACATCATATTAAGGGACCGGTCATTATTTATGGAAGGGGGAGGGGAATTTTTTCTTTCCCAAATTTTTAAACTATTGAAAGCCCCCCCCTTAAAAGAGCAGAAATTTAATGGTGACCCCCCTGCATATTAGAATATTTTTCTTTGAATCCCACCCCATTTTCATTTTTACTCGTCAAATGGAGATTCCCAGGCGTTATAGTGTTAATTATTAAATAAGAATATGGAACTGATAAGATATTAACGTCGACCAAATATATATATTAGCAGAAAATTATAATTAAAAGAGGAGTATTTTTATATATAACACTAAAGTAAAATCAGGTTTCCATTTGGTCTGGGCGATTGTAACCATGTCAAGATAGGCTAGATAGCTGATGTAATAATACATTGTCAATTTATCTCTGCAATCGGTAAAGACTGATTTGAATACAGCACACAAAAGACAAGATAAATCCAGACTATTTCACATCAGTAACCATGATTTAGTCACAACAGTTACAACCAAATGGATACCAGGCTTATTAAGCAAATTCCTTCAAATTTAATTGCAACCCCCCCCCCCTTCCTCATTTTCTTGAAAAAATTTAATAGCCCCCCTTCAAGTCATTTATTTATACATATGCCCCACATATTTGCCCTCCCTTCCATAAATAATGACTGGTCACTACTAAACGTAATATGAAATAAAACATCATAACGCAATATACGCAAATTACTGCAACTTACTGCATAAATAATTAGCTTCAGAATACAGATGTCACATCGGGCGAATGTAGCGCCCGAGGGAGACGTCTGGTGATTTAACCATTTCGCCCGGATGTGAGGCGTCTGGTATTCGCAGGTTGTTTAAGCTATTGTTCAGTCAGGCGGGCTGGGGTTCGAGGTAAATGAAAATATTACATGGCGTTCCAACGGTGCGCCAACAGCAAGTGATTGCGGGCGCGAGCGAAGACGAGGGGCTATAAATATTAATAGAAGCGATGAAACACCGGTAATGCGTGATCAAAAGCGATGTGTTCCATAAGTAGCCTGTTCTCGGCACCCAAAACGCCTCCCTGCCAACCTTCCAACAACGCCTAGCTAGGTGCTTAATTAACGAAAATAAACAATGCTTTAGCTTATGTACCGGCTAATGGCGAAATATTTTAAACATAGCGACCAACGGTTTTATTTACTATTTAAGCCTTTTGTATTATTATTTCAGTCATGTCACGAGAACAGGCTACTTATGGAAATCACATCTTGTGAAAACGGCCAAGAATGCTCGCCGTTATAAATAACACATAAATTGATTGATCAGTAAATTTTTGGTAATGACTTCACACACGGCTAAAACGCATAGTTGTTGCAAGCTGATATCGACAGGCGTGAACACGTTGCGGCCGACTATGAACTAGTTGTCAACCATGTTGTTCCAAGTTGTTGAACAATGTTGTAACAACATGTCCCGCACAACCTTGTTCACGCCTGTCGATATCAACTTGCAACAAGTTGTCGATTTTCTCAATTTTTACGCGTGTAGGCTTGTTCATGTAAGAGAACATCTACTGAGCCCCTAAAAATACCACGAAAAGCTTAAACGGATAGTCTAGAAGCATTTTGACATTTTTCAAGTCACGTGATATTTGTTTCATCCCTTCTATTTATTTCTTCCCTCGCCTTTTCGCTCGCGCGGCCCCAATCCTTGCTGTTATTTTCGTTGGAACGTCATGTAATATTTTCGTTTTGTCAATTTATTCGCCATATTTGAACAATCGTTTGAAGCAAAGTTTGAACACAGAGTAAAGGCATACAGAGATGTAACTGACAGTCGTCAACACCAATTTTTTTCAGGCGACCGGGCGAAAAATGATCAACTGCGCGTGCTCAGCAAGTTTAAAGTGAGTCGTCATCAGGTCGTCATCCAATCAGATGCATGCCATGCATCTAGTAACTTGCCGAGCATGCGCACAAAAAAAGTGGGTACACTAGTTACGTCTCTGTATGTCTCTACTCTGTGGTTTGAAGCTATTCACTGTAAATGCAAGCGCTTATGATTTATACAAGTATTAAAGTGCAATAATTTAAATATATTACGTTATGATGTTTTATTTATATTACGTTTAATTAATATGATGTTTTATCATATTCATAACACAGCTCTTAGTCGGACCCCCTGTGCACTGGGGCGCATTGCGGATCAATGGGTTAACTGAAGACATTGTGAGATTTTTTCGTTAACCCATTAAGCTGCAGAGCTTCCCCATTGACGAGTAAAATCGTCTGCATGGCGTTAGACAAGTAAAAAAAGTAAGGCGCCCTGAGGCGCATTGCGGCTCAATGGATTCATTATGTACAGTATATATTTTGCGAGGCTTAGATTTTCAATAGTGCAAATGATATATAATCGATAAAGCTTGAGGAGTCCACATTTCAGTGAATCAAGTATTAAAGAGACAACTGTGGATAGAGAAAGATATAGTGTAAGTACCTAAAAATATAAGCAGGCTAACTTCAATGTTAATCCAAATCTCTAACCCTATCTCAACCTCATGTTGTCTTGTTAACTCTAACCATAATCTCTCTCAATCCTCATGCTGTATTGTTAACTCTAACCATAATCTCTCTCAATCCTCATGCTGTCTTGTTAACTCTAACCATAATCTCTCTCAATCCTCATGTTGTCTTGTTAACTCTAACCATAATCTCTCTCAATCCTCATGCTGTCTTGTTAACTCTAACCATAATCTCTCTCAATCCTCATGTTGTCTTGTTAACTCTAACCATAATCTCTCTCAATCCTCATGCTGTCTTGTTAACTCTAACCATAATCTCTCTCAATCCTCATGCTGTCTTGTTAACTCTAACCATAATCTCTCTCAATCCTCATGTTGTCTTGTTAACTCTAACCATAATCTCTCTCAATCCTCATGTTGTCTTGTTAACTCTAACCATAATCTCTCTCAATCCTCATGTTGTCTTGTTAACTCTAACCATAATCTCTCTCAATCCTCATGTTGTCTTGTTAACTCTAACCATAATCTCTTTCAATCCTCATGCTGTCTTGTTAACTCTAACCATAATCTCTCTTAATCCTCATGCTGTCTTGTTAACTCTAACCATAATCTCTCTCAATCCTCATGCTGTCTTGTTAACTCTAACCATAATCTCTCTCAATCCTCATGCTGTCTTGTTAACTCTAACCACAATCTCTCTCAATCCTCATGCTGTCTTGTTAACTCTAACTATAAGCTATAAACGATTCCCAGCTTATGTGACCAACGAGAGACACATCAAAGACGCAAAAAACAACACACAATCGATCAAATATATTTATTTCTACAATGTCAATGAACGAATGATATAAATCGATAAACGATGATGATGGTTCTAAATAAACAATAAAGGTTCATCACAATCTATACTTATCCCAAGCAAAAAAGTCATAAATCAAATGTTTTACCTCGTATTTAGGCCACTTCCACGTACAAAAAAAACCTACAAACTATATATTGTATATGACCAAGCACATGGAATAAACAACTGCCCCTAACACATCCGGGCACTTACATAAATTATCATAAATTACCGTCTCGATCCTATATACCAGCCCCGAACGACCTACTATACTGTCGTTCAAAAATTATCAAAAAGGATCGAGATCCACAGTTCTATCGATTACCAATATTCACTTGCGCAAGTATAAAGTTTTCTCTTATTTCAACTTCTGTCGTACTTCTCACGACTTCCAAAACAACGTCATCACCAAGCTTGTCGGATAAAGTAAGATTGAACAAATAAAGTTAACATCAACAACATATATAAACTGTTTGTAATAGAGTTTCTTTAGTCCCGTTTACTCCGAGTCGGATTTCTCCAGGAGACACAATTTCCTAACATCACGTCGATATTGAGTCTGACTGGCTGCACGAATCAACACTTGTCTAACATGTCCATTCTTATCTGGATACGATTCTTCAACTACTGCTAGAG